TAACCTCGAGTGGAAATCAGAATAACGTGTAAATTTGAAATTAAAAATTTAAGCATTGACGTTCACTTTGTGCGAGTTCATTATAGTATGAACCTTCATAGAGTGAGGGGGCGGTCGGGTAGCCTAGTGGTTAAAGCGGTCGCTCGTCACGCCGAAGACCCGGGTTCGATTCCCGACATGGGTACAATGTGTGAAGCCCATTTCTGGTGTCCCCCGCCGTGATATTGCTGGAATATTGCTAAAAGCGGCGTAAAACCAAACTCACTCACTCACTCACTCACTCATAGAGTGAGGGTCAAACTGTATGAACATCTGAGCTTGTGACGACATTATAACGCGTTCTTTGATTTCACATGGCAGTGAAAATGAAGTAAAGCGCCTGGCAAAAGATGCTATACATCCATGTTTGATAGTGGCTAAAATAGCTAATAATTGATGATGTATTTGATACGGGTATCATAGCTGTGTTTTTGGATCTTAAGTTTGTAGTGTTTCGGCGACTGTTTTCAGTGTTAAAAAGTGTACGTTAAGAAGCCGATTGCACCTCAGATCGGTCCATAATGCTCTGGTGTTCTTCAATAGCTTGGTTCTTCTTACCATTAACAAGAGGTGGCATTGCCCCATCAAGGTATGACACTGAACCTTAATTGTATTCCTGTTTTCCTGGGAACAGTTGTACAGCCGACTTGTACTTTACCAAGCGACGGAGATCAACGAACCATGCGATGACACAATGTCATTGAAATCGCACAGTCTGACTACCCGAGTCCCATTTAAGTCGACACGTATGATTTACTGGCCGTGGGGATGCATTCTGACCAGGGTTCCCAACATGGTGTTCTTGAGGACATTGACGTTAATCCGACTCCCCCATTGTTATCGGTGCCTGAGGTTTGGTACCTCCCAATCTGTTGGGAGAGTACCCGGGTTTGCTGCCAGGAATAGAGCCCTTCTGACAATCTGGTTAATGAAGAAGGCTGCAGTGTTGGGAAGTCTTCACATTCTCCGAAAAGTTCTGGGTAGGTTTGACAAGGCAGCGCTTCCTTGGAGAAGTCCCACTCACTGTCTGGGCTGCGTGTAGAGGGGGCAAAGGGCCCTAAGCTGATGATGAGCCTAACCAGCCTGACTGTGCCAGGATCATCCAATCCCTCTTTGCTCTTTTATTTTAATCAGTAAATAATAATAAAAATAATAATAATAATAACCAATCATTATGGGATGGCGTGGTTTGATTACCGTGGAGGCTCTTCATGAGAGAAATGTATTGTGCACATTTGCACACATATATTTATCTGATGATCCTCTTGTGAAGCATATCAAAACTCATAATGAAAACAAGGCATTCCACAGTTTTCGTAAACGGGCCAAGGATGTGGGACATAATCTCAACGTCGGTGATTTGGTTGGTGATGTGTCATCGTGCTCCGATGGCGTAAATCGTTGCTCACAATATCAGTCAGTGGATTGTCTGGTCCAGTTTCGATTATTTACAGGCCGTCGTCATATAGCTGAGATACAGTCCAGGGCGTTCTTGGCAACAAACAAACAAACAACAACACATTGGACTTCTTTACCTTGGTTCCATTTTGCCATCGACAAGACGTGACTCGGTTCCACAACAGGACCATCTACAGTAAGTTGAAAGCGGATTTGGTTGTCTTCTATTTCTCTTTAAGATTCGGGAGGTCGGGTAGCCTAGTGGTTAAAGCGTTCGCTCGTCACGCCGACAACCCGGGTTCGATTCCCCACATGGGTACGATGTGTGTCAATTTCTGGTGTCCCCTGCCGTGATATTGCTGGAATATTGCTAAAAGCGGCGATAAAGACTACTCACTCACTCTTTAAGATTATCTTATGAGTTCATAATGCTGGACTATCAACTGCCTGTACCTCAGTTGACGTAAAATCACGTACACAAACAACAATAGACATTGATGTTGTTTTGGTGTAATTTATTTCTTCTGCACTTTATCAGATTCTCTCACACTAGATCATATTTACTACTTACTCTTTATCAAATCTGTACACATAATTGTCAGCGATGTATTCATCTGTAAATATATCTAAAATGATATGTCAGTATAGCAACGATAACATGAAACTCCTGTCTTCACTAAACAGGTAAAGGCTAAAGAAAAGACAACATTTGTGCATTGTGGAACCTGACGCTGTCCGTCCGTTTGAAAATATACATTCAAAATAATATATAGAACCACTCTGACTCAACTCATGTCAATCTAAATATCCTCTTCTTCTTTCCTTTCCGAGTTGCTGCAGCAGGAAGGTGTCTTCATGTTCTCTGCACCTATTGAAGGCATTTTCTAAAATTGTGATTTCGTTAGACCAATGATATAGACTGCGGGTTCATGTTGATCTAAGAAAGTACGTCGAGTTTTCTCATTTTGGATTCATTGCAGAGGTGCATGGTAAAGCTGATACATTTTCAAGTACGAACAGACATGGTCAGTAAAATAACAATTTACAAGTTCAGACAAGTATATTTGATAATATACAAATTTGAACATAAAGACATAGACATTCATTGTGACATGCTTCAGTTTTTAACAGTGCTAATTAATAAATACCCTATGAAGGAAACACAAGTCTTCACACATGGTGTACGTTAGTATAATATAAAAGATAATTCATTGCAAGCACATACAGAACCTATTTTTAACTGGTTACTCTCGTTAAAATTTAGTAAATATTGCTTTCCGACAGTAAGAATGTCAGCTGGTACATATAGGTAAGTCTTAACTTTTAATCAGAAAAGTATGTGAGCCTAAGTGCACCGTGGACGTTATTTGTAAAACTACCTGAGAATCTTTTTTATACCTATTCGTTTTGAACTAGACGCAGTCGAGAGTTGGAGGAATGTACGTGGTCAACATCTGCCAGTGATGAGATAGCAATGATGAAATATGTGGAGTTAGAATTTCCGATTTCACCGCACCGAGCCTCGCACTCCTTACCGGATGGGTGTTTGCCCAAAGTACAGCGTATGTTGCATGTTTCAGTGCCTCGTACATTCTCTTACTAATGCAGGATGCACCTTATACAGACGCACGCGTTATTATTTACACTTGATGCTATCATTAACTTCACATACTCGCTAATTTGCTTTATGAATAGTCAAAGGTCTTGCGAAGTCCTCAGCCACAGTCGTACTCACAGTCGCAAACGTAAATGCACACGGACCCTGCACCCGCTCCCACATTCGCACGCGCATCCGCACCCGCTCCCACACTCACAACCGCTGCCACACTCGCACCCGCATCCGCATCGGCACCCGCTCCCACACTTACAACCGCTGCCACACTCGCACCCGCATCCGCACCCTCACGCGCTCCCACACTGGCACTCGCACCCGCACCCGCACCCGCACCCGCACCCGCATCGGCACCCGCTCCCACACTGGCACTCGCACCCGCAACCGCTCCCACACTCGCACCCGTACCCGTACCCGCACCCCCACCCGCTCCCACACTCACAACTGCTGCCACATCGCACCCGCATCCGCATTGGCACCCGCTCCCACACTCGCACTCGCACCCGCAACCGCACCCAGACCCGCACCCTCACGCGCTCCCACACTCGCACTCGCATCCGCAACCGCTCCCATACTCGCACCCGTACCCGCAAAACACACATCTCCACACACACACACACACACACACACACACACACACACACACACACACACACACACACACACACACACACACACACACACACACACACACACACACACACACACACACACACATACCCCCACCGCACCTGCACCCGCATATCCAAACACCGACTTACACATCCACAACATACGCGCTTAATCGATATTCATCTTGTTAATTGTTAATATTCAACAGAAAAATGTGTCGTTTTGGTATAATTTCATCAGAGGTGAAAACCAAAATGAACCAACATATTAATTATTCTACACCTCAATATATGCGTCAACCAGCAGATATCTTTCATGTTCGAAGATATTATGTCGCAATCCAAATGTTAAATAGTCAGTCAATAAACATGCTAACCATTCAACATAACAGGGCTGACATATTGCAGTGTATCACATGCGTAGCAACGTGAACCCCCAAGAAACAAACAATCTATAGAATCTACAGAATCTACCTGTAGAATGGAATACGTATTTTGTGTATAAATATTCGTTACTATAAACGCCGTATATTAAACGTTTTAGTTATTTCTATGTTTCATTGCTCAACATTCATATCACATCATCTTCAAGTGATCTAAGTGTTCGTGTCAAGACTACAACACAAGATACATACAATCACTGTTTCCCTTGCTAAAAATCAACGCCACCGGACACAAGAAAACGTCTTAGTCATTCCAAGTCAACATGTAAACAAACCAAGATTACTCTAGTCTGCAACACTATAAATAAATATAAAATATAAACTAATGTGTATAATAGATAACAATTTCTGGACAAAATATATTTTTTAAATGCTATAGTATGGCACGTTACAAAAAATAATTGCTGTGAGCCATAAAAACAACCTTGAAACAACGCTGAAATAAGGTCACATACTCTGCATAACTGGTTCTGTCCTATTTACAAGTGAAATGACTGACAAGGTACATATAGCATATTGCAATCTAACCCTAGTCTAACAATTATCATTGTCAAAACCTGCTAAGGCAATGGTCAAGGGTATTTATCGTTGTAATACAGTACAATGTAACCATCTCTACATACACGAAAACACAATATTGTAATATCACACACTTTTATTAATTATGCTTTAGCAATATAGGATTCGTACATTTCCGTCTTGTATTGTTGTCTGTACTTCACAGAAGAGTGTTTAAGTGAGTGAGTTGGATTTAACGCCGCTTTTAACATTATTCCAGTTATATCTTTGCTTAATGTGGGAGGAAAGCCCGAAGTGATGCAGATCTCAGACGTTTAGCACTTCGGTGAAACCCACGAGCACGGGTATGGTGCTGACAAACCTAGAAACATAATTAGGGCGAACCGGGATTCGAACCCACAATTATAGGTTTCTAGCGTGCCTAAGGGACGCAACTCTGCACGGCGAATTGCGGCGCCTTAGAAGACTGGACTACCCGTGCCCCCACTTTACAGAAGAAGAAAGTATAGCTTCCATATGAAAATGTAGTTAAATATAAGCAGTACAAGGAATAGGAATACTATTACTCAAAAGCGATTAAATGCACGCTATTGGTTAGACAACTCCAACAAGTGAGAGAGTGAGTTGGGTTTAACGCCGCTTTGAACAGTGTTTCAATTATAGCAGGGTGTGTCAGTTTGATGTGGGAGGAAAGCCCGAAGAGAATCAGTTCTCAGACGTTTTCCACTTTGGTAAACCCACGAGCACGGGTATGGTTCTGACAAACCTAGAAACATAATCGGGGCGATCCGGGATTCCACCCACGATCATAGGTTTCTGATTGAGGATATGATTCGTTTATGGGATGTTAAAAATCTCTAAGCCAAGGAAAGATAAATATCTCGTTACCAACTGTTCTGTTCTGAGAATGTTTTCTCGAAAACGAGGCTACACTACCAAACAGTGTCATGTATTCTGATGCCAATGTTGCTTATATTGTTGCTATGTACTTATTCCCCTCAACTCGATACTTCATCTGTCATACCGGTTCCCTGAAAGAATGTATTCTATATATATTCTATACAAATGGAATTGATATTGAAGAGTTAATAGTTGTATGTTTTATTTTAAAAAGTCAGTTAAACAATACAGAAGTTGTTATCCATAAAAAATTCAAGTCTTCACGATCTTCCAACTCCTGTCAAAGACTTCTTTTACTACTTTTAAAAAACATTCTGTATGTGTTATTTTTCACCAATGTGTATATACCACACTAACATTAAAAACATAGGTTTTTTATCCCGGTACAATTCTCTGCTAGAGTTCATAGGGGACCTCCGTTATCTTTAGATATACTGACGGAAGAAAATATAAGATCACATAACTATTACAGATCAGTTTTACAAATATTTTCAGTAACATTATTAACACCGACAGAATATGTGTATGGTAGTGACTTTTATTGGCTTGTGTCTTGTTTAACACCGCATTCAGCGATTCAAGTGACCTGTACAAATACGAGTATGGACCAGACAAACCAGTGATTAATATTGTGAGCAAAGACCTACGCCGTCGGAGTACAAATCGAAATTTAGTTGCATGCTACTACAGGCATATCTTAACCCGGAATCACCCGGAATCATCCGGAATCACCCGGAATCACCCGGAATCACCCGGAATACCCCGTAAACCCCCGGAATCCCCCAGAATGTGAGTAATGTCTGATGTGTTATTTCCAAAGACGAAAAACCCCTTTTTTGTACAGATAACCTTTCACACTTAACACACTTTTAACCTTCCCTTATTTCCGCCAGTCAGTATATATTATGTGAATGCTTACCATAGACGTACAGAAAGATACAGGAAATCCCCAAACAAGGGTATCAACACGTATGTTAGATACAATTGGACAGGACGTCTTAAAGGGTGCATGAGGTTCTTTCGGGAGGACACCTTACCCTTTCGCGAACATCAATAGTCATCACTGATTTTCAGTCATCCATTCATATACTTTCCACCGCTATTTCGCCCAATGGAAAATGTTTCGTCGGATAATCGAGACTGGTTATTCTCTGGCCTTGGTTTTTTATGCTTATGTTTACGTCCGGGTTAAATTCAATGTTCATTGTCCCTAGCAACATGTGCTTGCCGTAAGTGCGGTTTGTTGGATAGGGTGATCAGGCTAGATGACTTGCGTGTCATTATGCCCTGACGATCTGGGACGTCGCTCATAATGTCAACCGCCAGTTTGTCTGGTCCAGACTCGTATATATACAGGTCGGCGCGATGAAGCTGGAATATTGCTGACTGTGGTGTTAAACAACAAATAAACGTTACGACCGAAGATAACTGTATGTGACACACTGGATATATTTAATCAGGAAAGGATCTACACGTGTGGGTCTGCGTTGGAGGCAGTGGTTGCCAACATGCACATACAATCATATTCATTGTTATGTACCATCACATGAGAGATACTGGTTTGGCACAAATTTCAAATATTGCATTTCGATGAAGATCAACTATTCTGACTGTTCTGTAAGCGTTATAATACAAAGCGACAGCAACCAGCCAATGTGGATGATTGCATGGTCTACATTGTTGCATAATAAACGGCCAGGAGCCGAAGTCGTTGAAGGGTTTTATCCCTGGAATCACACAGTATCCAACACAAATATGTATGACGTCATCAATCTATGTGCATACTGTCATCAGTAGTGTGCGTTGTGGAATTGTGGTCCGTCTTGGGGGGCTTATTGTAACTATGCTGTCTAAACGTGGACTGTTTTCGAAGAAGTTCGTTCGATTCCCGTACTGAAAATAAGAAGTGACATGTTAAATTGCAATATTGTTAATATCGACATCTAAAAAGGAAAAACGGAATGAAATATCAGCACTGAAAAGAATAAAATCATCAATTAAACGAATATCAATATTCAAATATGTCATAAGTGACACATGTATACCAAGAAAACTTCAAACTGGAAAGCAAACATATTGCGTGTCTACTGCTGAAATAAACATAATATAAACAAGGACATATGCTAACTTTAATACGACTTAAAATATTTAGTATACATTATAATGCCGTTACATTTGCAAGCATATGGGATGTTATGTCTCATGTTAAAACCAGGATTAATTATAATTATAGAAATTACGTTTTTAAATTCAATTCATTGCCTTAAATATACCTTTCTATTATACCTGAAGTATTATAAAAATATGATGAATTAACTTCATGCTTTTTGTCTAATTGTCATTGTCATAATAAAATTATATACGAATCTTAAAAAGAAAACTTGAATGATCCGTGTCATACAGAATCATTCGAGCATGCTAAATACCATCTCATAAGGAAAGGTTATATTAAAGTATGTATGTGGGAAATGTCATTAGTTTAGCACGATGCAATGGTTCAGAAATACTAAAGCAGGCACCGTATAGTTGATGTTAAATTCTAACTAGTACAGTTTGGAAGCGTGCAGACAAATAATTGCCAATCATGATTATTATGTATAAAGTCCAAAAACTTATAATAATTCATTCCATTGGTGCATTGATGAAACCATTTAATAACTGAATTGTGATAACATTGTTGAATGTACACTCTTTCGTAAATAGGATTATATTAAGTTGATGAAAGTAACAAATTATAATCTATTTCTACATTAAGAACTTATTTATGTATAAAAAAAAGTTTTCTTTGTTCGATCTTTGCTACGCGCAAATTGTTTAAGCAAAGTTATCTCCCCTTGAAACAACGTAATCGTTTTATGTATATAAATTTGCATGATTTGTTGAGAAACATATATAACAATAGAGGAGGCGTACAGCAAGGATATATTTTGAGACCACTACTTATTGACATGCTGAGACTAATAAACATAGAATATAGGTTATCAGCGTACATATGCAGATTGGACAAAGGCACAGGACAAACATTGAAGAGCACTTTGGGAATTTTTTTGCATTCACGGCCAAAGACGTAACGAAAATAACGGAGACTAACGTAAAATCCGTAAGTCACATGAAACTAAAATAAACTAAGGGGAGATAACTATGATAGCGCAAACCTGGGTTTTCCTGCTTTCTCGGTGGCCAGGTCTTTCCACGGGCTATAGATCTGTTTGCATCTGCTCAGTGTGAAGCAAGAAAAGAAGGTCAGATACGGAACAGTCTATTTGCGCATGATGAAGCCATAATAAATATTGTTAATGCGGCCTAAAACAAGACAGGGAGAGTAAACATGTAAACAAACATTGAAGGGACGCTAACAAGGGATATACACAGAATCCTTATATGCATAAACATGTGATTAATATTTGTAAGCGAGCATGATGACCCAGTCTATATCGCTGTGCAGAGTGGCGTCCATTAGGCGTACCAGGATTCAATAGACGTTGTCAGGGGTAATAGTCCGACAGCACCTTACCGTGCTGGTAAGTTTGACATAGTCGTAAGCGTCCATGACCTATGTCGGGCTGTGCCTTTTCCCCTTGTTACGTGAGTACGGATTTAGGCCGCGTTTAGCAATATTCCAGCAAAATCACAGCGGGGACACTAGAAATGGGCTTCAAATATTGAACCCATCTGGAGAATCGAACCCAGATCTTCGGCGCTTTAGCCATTAGGCTACCCCACCGCACCGTTGTTAAGCCGATATGCTATGATCTTATTGAAATATTGTTAAAATGACGTTAAACCCACTAATTCACACCTTTCATCATGAGCGAGTGAGTGAGTATGGTTTAACGCCGCTTTTAGCAATATTCCAGCAATATCACGGCGGGGGACACCACAAATGGGCTTCACACATTGTACCCATGTCGGGAATCGAACCCGGGTCTTCGGCGTGATGAGCGAACGCTTTAACCACTAGGCTACCCGACCGCCCCCCTTTCATCATGAAGGGCAAGACGTCCTTTGAAACATTGCATGTTATAACATCAATATAAGGATTATAGATTATTCATTTGGTAAATATAAATTATGATACGAGTTGTATGTCATACTGATTTTACAAAATAAGTGTCAGAATTCTTGTATTTCCTGAGCGAGAGCGAGGGTAATGCATGAATTCTTACACGAGTTTCGTAAAATCAGTATGACACACATGCAAGTGTAATAATTTCTTAATCCCTTCTAGCTCCCCTTTTGAAAACTGTACTTATCACGACCGCCGTTTCAGATAAAAAAAACACAATTGTCGAATGACGTCAACAATTTCAGCTAAGACATCGTTTCCTGTGTGACGTCATTCCGACATTACGTCACAATGAGATTCGAATGACGTCAACAATGCCTCCGGATGACGTAAACAATACAGTGGTGCACGTGAAGTGATATGTTTGCACTAGTGCACACACTATGTTAATTAACTTATTTTTAACCGTATAGGTAATAACAAAACTTGTAACATCGAAAATTCAATATCTGTCAACCTTTTTAATTTGTTTTTAATACTAACAGGCTCAATATAGGCAAAATAACTTTTTCACGTGAAACTATGTTAGTAATAAGTTTCCATTACTGAACAATAACAGAACCTACAGCGTTCCTCCAGTTCACAGTACATTAGAAAGTAGGTCATTGTTGCAAAGTCTTCACTCGAAAACAAATATTGCCAATCTATTTTAATGTTTGCACTGCACGCCGCCCGTCGATAGTTTTGTATATTGATATAATTAGTGTTAGTGAGTAGTCTGTTTGATCCCCATACTAGGCAAATGGTTAACGTTCAAAACTGATTGGGTTTAAAAATACAAAAACAAGTTTTCGATCGATAAGAATTGGATTGACGACACCCGTATGTTATTTGTATGGAACGGGAGCTAGTAGAGTGTTGATTTTGTGACTCAGGGGATTTCCATGCAAGCAATGACGATGATGTGAATATTAATGACAGAAACCGAAGTGTATATAGGTGATTTGTCGCTAGTACAATACATGACACTCTATCCAACATGATTTGTCGCAAAAACAATGCATAATACTCTATCCAACACGATTTGTCCCTGATATTATGCATAACATGCTATCCAATATGATTTGTCCCTTACACAAGGCATAACACTCTATCATATATGATCGGTCCATAATACAGTGAATAGCACTCTATCCAACACGATTTGTCACTGATATTAAGCATAACATTCTATCCAATATGATTTGTCTATCATATATGATCGGTCCATAATACAATGTATAGCACTCTATCCAACATTATTTGTCCCTAATAAAATGCATATAATTCTATCCAACATGTATTGTCCCTAATACAATGCATAAAACTCTATCCAACATGATTTGTCCCAAATACAATGCATAACACACATTTCTATATGATCGGTCCATAATACAGTGTATAGCACTCTATCCAACATGATTTGTCCCTAATACAATGCATAAAACTCTATCCAACACCATTTTGCCCAAATACAATGCATAACACACATATCTATATGATCGGTCAATAATACAATGCATAACACTCTATCCAACACGATTTGTCGCAAAAACAATGCATAATACTCTATCCAACATGATTTGTCGCTAATACAATACATTACCCTCTATCCAACATGATTTGTCCCTGATATTATGCATAACATGCTATCCAATATGATTTGTCCCTTACACAAGGCATAACACTCTATCATATATGATCGGTCCATAATACAGTGTATAGCACTCTATCCAACATGATTTGGACCTAATACAATGCATAAAACTCTATCCAACATGATTTGTCCCAAATACAATGCATAACACACATTTCTATATGATCGGTCAATAATACAATGCATAACACTCTATCCAACATGATTTGTCGCTAATACAATACATGACACTCTATCCAACACGATTTGTCGCAAAAACAAAGCATAATACTCTATCCAACATGATTTGTCGCTAAACAATACATTACATTCTATCCAACATGATTTGTCCCTGATATTATGCATAACATGCTATCCAATATGATTTGTCCATTACACACGGCATCACTCTATCATATATGATCGGTCCATAATACAGTGTATAGCACTCTATCCAACATGATTTGTCCCTAATAAAATGCATAAAACTCTATCCAACACGATTTGTCCCAAATACAATGCATAACACACATTTCTATATGATCGGTCAATAATACAATGCATAACACTCTATCCAACACGATTTGTCGCAAAAACAATGCATAATACTCTATCCAACATGATTTGTCGCTAATACAATACATGACACTCTATCCAACACGATTTGTCCCAAATACAATTCATAAAACTATTCAATATGATTTGTCCCAACACAGTGCATAACACTATATCCAACATGACTTGTCCTCTACTACAAAACAGGAATGGTCAAGAACTGCTTGAGATATGTGTTCATCCCATGTTTACCTGAATGTTTTTGTATTCTGGTAAATATCAGTGCCACGACAAGATTCAAAATACTATATATGTCATGGTGTGCATGAAACGGTGCTGTTGTTATGCTGTTGTTATGCCGTTGTTATGCTGTTGTTATGCTGTTGCTATGCCCTGTGTACGAGTGAGAGGGTGCATGTGTACTGATGCTGCAGTCAGTAACATCCCTGCTACACCACGGAGGTGTGTGTCGGTACTGGTAGACCAGGGATTGATAGCATTAGCACCGATCCACGCCATCGGGGTACGATTACACACAATGAAAGGTCACACCGGTGCCTTACGCACCCAATCCTCATCCGTCAACAACGGGCTAGAGATTAGTTCTGCCCCTATAGAGGCCCTATGTCTGAGTGAGTGAGTGAGTGAGTGAGTGAGTGAGTGAGTGAGTGAGTGAGTGAGTGAGTGAGTGGGTGGGTGGGTGGGTGGGTGAGTGAGTGAGTGAGTGAGTGAGTGAGTGAGTGAGTGAGTGAGTGAGTGAGTGAGTTGGGTTTAACGACACTTTGAACAGTATTTCAATTAAGTCACGATGTGTCGACTTGATATGAAAGGAAAGTGATGCATGAGACACAGAGATCTTAGCTCTAAGTCGATCGTAAGTCTATGTTAAAGTACAGGAGTTTAGGTGGTCGTAGCGCTGCGATCGTTTTGTGAAACGGGTCCCTGGTGAAACCCACAAGCACGTTCATGGCGCAGACAAACCTGAAAGCATTATCAGGCCGAACCCGGATTCGAACCCACGATCACAGGTGCCTTAGACGAACAGGGGCGCCTTAGACGAATCGGCTACCGATGTCCCTATGTTGTACTGGCATACCACTCGGTTGTCACTGCTGGGATTTGCAAACTTATGAAACTTCAACATGTACAAGTTGACGAGCCCTCCTCAGTCTATCGAATCTCATTTGGTATCCAAATATTTACAGAAAGAGCAATTTACAGAAATTCGAAAGCCGGCAGTTGTACAGTTTCAGAGAAGCCCGCTAATGTCTATTTTTCCAAGGGTCAAAGCGTATTCTGAAATTCTCTGTTGCCCACGATATTATACAAGGCCAAGTAAATCAGCTCCAGTAACGAGAAGCGTCAATATGCAGGGCTTTGTAAGTTATGTGAACGCCGAGCATATAATTGAAATTGAAAGATAGGCGAGGAAAGTGAATTACGGCGAAGAGAATTGGAAACGCGAAATCGGATGCAAAATCAACGACAAACCAAAGTTAAATATAGGACAAAAAAAAGAATAGCTTGCAATTGGATGGCAATAACTTTAGATCGGACAAAAACTAGATCATGTCCCATAAATCAAATGGCTTACAAAAAATGCCTTTCTGAGCTTAATTCATCTGATTTAATGGCTTGGAAAGAAATCATCTCCCAAATGAAATGAGATCCTAGTCGCAATAACAGAACATGGGTATTTGTTTCTCCTTGCCATTTTCATTCCCGGAATCTCGGTTATGTCCTCGAGGTCTGGAGCGCGACCATACTTGCCTGGATATACCTTGGTTTGCGTCCATATAAATCAGGGTGATACAAGCCTCGCGAGACATAGAGTGACCACGGGGATTCTGTGATGGGGATATCGGTGTTTTATGAGTACACTCCATAACTGATCAACCATCAGCGGTGTCAGGTTGATGTCCTTGTCCAAAGTAGAGTGTCTGCGGCATCACCTTGAACAATGACCTCCCTTCACCCGT